TCAGAGAGATGGACAATTACTAGAGTTGACAGGAAAAAAATTAATACCTTTGAATTGTGGTGCTAGAGAAGAGACTGAACATACACCATGGACTGACAAGAGGACAAAAAAAGAAAAAGGTTTATCCTAGAGAGGGTGAAACCAGGCTTTTCCTTGGCTAGGATTTTGGAGTTCTGTCTCACATACTCTGTGCATGTGGCCAGGAGGGACCAGTCCCTGGAGAAAGACAACATGCTTAGAAGGGTGGAGGGTCAAGCAAAGAAGAAGAAGACCCCAGGTGAGATGGATTGGGGTAAAGGTGGCAGGTGTGTTGGAGTCAGTGAGACTGGCTCAGGAAAGGGCAAGGTCCAGAGCTATTGTGCATAGGGCTGCCATAAGTCACAGGCAACTAATTGGCACATAATAACAACAGCAAAGAAGAAGAAAATGTGGAACATAAGGACATGTCTGACCTCACTGGAACTATCATTGCACTGCAGCTGCTGTGAAGTGTTCATCTTAGCAGTGGTTAGATGCTCTCTCCCCAGGGCTCACAAGATGATTTTTACAGATGGCTCTTTATCCATCAATCTGATTAATGCACAACTTCCCAAATATGTTTTAATCTATATCCCTGATGATCGATTAAAGAAATGGAGCTCAGAACAGTGATAAATTATACCCATGGCCTTGTCTTGCAGCTAAAATGAATCTCTACGAGCATGTTCACAACTAGACCTAAAGTCATAAAATTTCCATTTTTAAAAAGAAGAAAACCATCACACAACATGTCTAAAGTTGAGACAATCATCTATTTAAAACAAAATGAGGCTCTATGTAAAGCAGTCCCACCATCAACAGCAGCTGGACTCCCTTCTTGTCGCATCTAAACAGTCCAGGTTAGAAATGAATACATCTCACCCTTTATGCTATGAATTTCTGCTAAGGGCAGCAAGATGGGTCATGGGTCATTTTTAAGAGGTTCACAAATCCATAAATAGAAATGCACCATTTGTATTCAGAAATTAACCTATAGTGTTTTCCCCAAAACCTATGTAAATGCTAGTGCTGTTGTTAACAACATCAAGTCACCTGTGACTCACAGCAATCCTAGGTTTTAACAGCTCTGAAGCCTGCTCTGTCCTGAGCTAGTCTCACTGACTCCAACACACCTACTCCCACTTCCCCAGTTTCTGTTATCAATCCATCTCCCCCAGGGTCTTCCTCTCTTGTGCTGTCCCTCCACCCTTCCAAGCATGATGTTCTTCTCCAAGGGCTAGTCTCTCCTGGCCATGTGCCCAAAGTATATGAGACGAAGCTTCAAAGTCCTAGACTCCAAGGAGAAACTTGTTTTCACCATCTCCAAGACAGATCTATTTGTTTTCTTGGTGGCCCATGGTATGTTCAATACTCTTCTCCAGCACCATAACTCAAAGGTATTGATTTTTCTTCTGTCATCCTTAGTCACTGTCTAGCTCTCTGACACATCGCAAATAATTGCAAAGACCATGGCTTGAATCGGGCACACCTTAGTCTCGAGACTGACATTGCTGCTTCTCAGTACTCCAGAGAAGTCTGTGACAGCAGACTTTTCCAGTGCAATTTGTCTTTTAATTTCCTGACTGCTGGTGCTAAAAGTGTTAATTGTGTAGCCAAGCAAACTGTAATTGTTAACAACCTCAATCTCCTCCATCTATCATGGTGCTGCCAATTAGCCCAGTGATGAGAATCTTTGTCTTCTTGATGTTGACCTTCAATCCATATTGAAGAATACAGTTCTTGATCTGCAGCAAGTGCTTAAGGTCCTCCTCAGTTTCAGCAAGCAAGGTTGTGTCATCTCTATAACACACGTTGTTGATGAGTCTTCCTCCAATCTTAATGCCACATTCTTCCTCATAAAGCCTAGCCTCCCAAATGATCTGTTCTACATAAAGACTGAAAAGACAAGGCACATCCCTGATACACTCCTTTCCTGATTTTGAACCATGCTGTGTTTCCTTGCCCTGTTCTAAGGACTACTTTCTGGTCTGAGTATAGATTTTCCATGATCACAATTAAGTGTTCTAGGATTCCCATCCTTCTGAAGGTTAACCACAATTTGTTATGATCCACATAGTCAAATGCCTTTGTTTAGTGATTAAACACAGATAAAACAGTCCTCTGGTGCTAATATGATTAATTAATTTTAAGATCTTAAAGTATAAACTCACTGTAGTAGACCCTTCATGTTTAATTAATGTTTAATGTTATTAACTATACCAGTTCTGTCCAGTTTTCTATGTTAAAAAGAAGCCAGTTACAGGAGATGATGACTGGCTGCCTGGTTAGGATATGAAGGAATTTGACAATGGAGGTGCAAGTCCTTCATATTTTAATGTCAGTGTTAGTAGTTACATAGGTGTGAAATATTTGAAGAAATTAACTGCACTGTATACTTAGAACCTGTACATTTTGTTGTATATAAATTTCTTATGCTTTAATAAAAAGGGAGGGTTCTTATTGAAATAAATTGGAAAATACTATCTTTCAAAGTCAAGTCAGGATGAGTATTTTCCCCATTTGAGGTAAATAGAGAAAAAAAAATAAGAATACTGTAGTGGGTTTAGCATACTGCTAAAGTTATCTTAACTGGAAGAAATTAGTTTTAATACTGCTTTCTACTTTTGGGTGCCTTTTATCCTGAACACTCTCCCTTATCCTTTATAGTGTTAATGTCATTTCTTGGGGAAAATAAAAAACAAAAAAAAACCCCAGTGATGATACTAAAAATATGATATCCCTTCCTTGTGTATATTTATCTTAGAAGACTATGCTGTGGTCTTAATGTCTTCACTTGGTAAACTAAAAAGCTGTCAATCTATACTGGGTCTCATGACCCCTTTTAAAAAAACTCCCCTTTTTTGTATTTTTGTTGGAAGAGGCTCCTCCATAACAATTTGTATACATATTTTTTGATAATATTAGACTCATTCTTTACATTGTATCAGCATTCTCTGTTTCCATTCTAGTTGTCCCTTGTCATTAACCTAGTTTTAACTTTTCCAATTTTCTCCTCTATGCTTTAAAGAACTTGTTGCTCATTTCCTCTCATAGAGACTTTCTTTCTAGTCAGAATCAATTTAACAATAGTGACTTTGCTTTGGATTTATGAATCCTATGGGGTTCTGGTGATACAATGAAAGGCATGTTGTGCAGCCAACTGAAAACCTAGCAGTTTGAGTGCCCCAACTGTTCTGTGGCAGAAAGATGGGCCATCCCTTCTGAAAAGATTTGTTGTTGTTATGTACCATTGAGCCAATGCAAACTACTAGCTGACTCTCCATTGGACTTTTAGAGGCAGTAAATTGCATGGGAAGAAAATGCCCATCACTCTTCCACAGAGCAGCTGGTAGATTCAAACCACATGCCTTTGGATTGGCAACACATCTCCTTATGGCAAGGCCACTAGTACTCCCTATCTGAAAAGGTTTACAGCCGTGGAAACCCAATGTGTGTGTGTGAGAGTGTGTGTGTATGTGTGTGTGTCAGGAGGGGGGATAACTAAGAGTCAAAATCAACTAGATGGCGGCAGTAGGTAAGGATACCACATATACTCACATTTGTACTTCAGCTGTTGTCATTGCTTCCATGACTTTGTTTTGTCTGAGAACTGTTGCTTGAAATGAAAACACGTGCTCCATATTTTATAAGTAATCACTCTGCTGTTTGAGCACTTGTTTATTGCTGTTGTTTACTATTAAATCAGAACCAACTCACAGCTGGAACCTCCAGCCGGTCAGCACAGGAAGAGATTGTCCATCCTCCAGCAGAGCAGCCGGTGGATATGAACCATGTACCTTTGGGATTATACCATTGCTCCTTACCACTGGGCCACCAGAACTTCCTGATACACTCAAATCCCTTTGTCCATTAGTCACCAGCCAAGGCAGAGAGTGGCATTCTTGGACACCTGCCCCTCCATCTCATTCTTACTTCACACAGGAAGGTGCCTCCCTCCTCACTGAAGAGTGAGAGCAATACATATTCCCTCTGCCTGTGGACTTCCCAGGAGTCCTTACAAAACATTAGTAAGGTCCTTGAAGAGGGATCCTAATTTATTGAAGTCCCAGAGCAACATACACAGAATAAAAATATCATAAAATATCAGCTTCTGAGGAATCAGTGCAAGGACACGCTCAGGAACCCAATCACACTTATGGCTGGGGATTCCAAACCCTAATTCCTGACTCCAACTTAAACCTACAGTATGCTTGGAAGGGTGGAGGGACAGTGCAGGAGAGGAAGACCCAGGATGAGATGGATGGACAGTAACTGGGATAACAGGAACCGGTGTGGAAGACAGTAAGACTGGCTCAGGATAGGGCAGGCTTCAGGGCTATTGTGCAGAGTCGCTATGAGTTGAAGGCAACTTGAAAGCACATAATAACAACAAGGTTAATGCAAAATTACCATCTGTTACAGTGAGGATTTCATGAGACCAGGCGATAAACGGCATTGATAATTGTGATTCATATTATAAGACATAACATAATGAATAATTGTATGAAAACCTGTTTTTTTAAAATGTTATCACTTGTATCCAAATAGAAACTTAAAACAAACTAGTTACTGTTGTTGCTGTGTGCCATGCTAACTTATAGCAACCCTGTATGACAGAGTAAAACTGCCAATTGGATTTACAGACCTTTTACGGGAACAGGTCACTAGGTCTCCTCCCCAGGCACCCTCAACACAATGAGCCAGGAAGCAGACTCAAACCAGTCATTCAGTAACTGAGTGCTTAACCACTGTACCACAGGGTCTCCTCCTGCTATTGCTAACTGCTGCTACTCCTACTAGTACAGCCCCTGATCTCTTTGAGCAAGGTTACAGCAGTAATACAAGTAACTAACTATTGTTACTGCGACTGGCACAACACATCTCTTTTTGATCAAGGCTACAACAGTAATACATGTTTGTTCATATTTTGTTTTAGTGTTTTCTCAAAGAGAATTTTTGATGAGATGTTAGAAGACTGTTACCTGTAAAAGCCCTTGAGATTCACCCGGTCCTTTATCAAGTCAGCTGCCTGAACAATAATAATATTCCGCAATGCTCTTCCTGCACAAGACGAATTCTCTCCATAAATCTACATGGAAAAGACAAACACTTACTATAAATTTAGAATTGCAATGTGATCATTTGTGAGCAAACACATGCTATGTGTAAATAATCATGACCAAAGCCCTACATTAGTAATTTAGTTGATGCAGGTATAGATCTACAACTACCTTTTATAGTTGTTTCATTAATCTACTTATGCTGTTAAACTACAACAGCTATTTTCCAAATGCTAAGATACTTTATTTAGTAAAAATATACAGACTTTTACTGTGAGATTTTCAGGGTAAAATGCTCACCATTTAAAAAATACTTACATTATATATTAAATCTGCCTTATTAATAACATACTCACAGGGGAGGGGGGAAATCCTAAAAAAAAAAATTCCCCTAGCAAACAACTTGAAAAAATCTGGTAACAGGCCGTTGTCAACATTACATTTAAGCCTTACTGAACCGTAAAGTTCACAGTTAATTCCAAATACCCTGCTTTTTTTCCCCATTACTTCATGATTCCATGTATCAGATAAAAATTTCCCTCAGCTTATTTTTTTCCATCTTCAAATTCTCCCACATAAGTCTCTGATTCTTGAAGCATGAAGGAGGGTATTACTTAGCTCGAGAGAGCACCAAGTCTTACATTACATATGAACTCCTACTTAAAATTACCATCTTACTTTACTACACATTGCTGTTAAACAAACTAAAAGTAAAAATAAGCTGCCTTCATGAAAAGGGCATATAAAAATTAATATGGATTAATAACATATATATATATATATGTATATATATATATATGTTGTGTGCTTATTGGTACAAGATTTCAGAAACTATAAAATATTTATTTGTTCTCTCAAAGCAGATGGATTGATGATACATTGATTACAATCTGGGAAGGATCTTATGCCTCTTTAACACTTCTTTAATTTTCCCATGATGATTTCCTAAACAGAATCTGATCAGAAAGTAAAAAGGCCAGGAAATAACTTATTTTTAACATGTTAAAAGCATGGGGAGGAAAAAAGATCTTCAACAATTCAGGTGACAGAAAGTATTACCATAAGCATTCAATGGACAGGAATCAGGCCCGTTTCAGGACGCTAGGGACACAATGAAGAGGGCAGAAAAAGTCCTGCTCTTCCTTTTTTTTTTTTTTTTGTTGTCTTCTCATTCTCACTTTATTCCAAAATTTCATTAATTTATACTTTAAAAAAATAATTGTGTAGTTTTTACAAGTAGTTGGGTTAAAATGAATGCTTAGGTCATTTTCCTTCCCCACCGTCTTTCATTTTCCTTAGCGGACTTGAAAGTAAAAGCAATACAAGCTTACTTAATATTGATCAATGTTTGCCGTATTACAAACCAAACAAGAAAGATAAGGGCTCAGAAGATTTAAATGAGTTACTTTAGACTCTGAGAGACTATGGAGGAGTGTAAGCAAGCCTTTGAAAATGTGCCAGACATATTTAAATACAGAAGACCTATACCAGCAGTCCAAACATGTAATTGCTGCTTGCACTGGACATTTAAGTGTATGCCAGGGGACAATTTGAAAGACTGACTTTGTAAGCAATCGTGCCTATAGGTTATCCTCTTATTTTGATAATGTATACCTAATTGTATGTAGATCTATAAAGAATTACTGCTTTTAAAAAAAAAATATTCACACCTACAAGTAAAAAAAGTCCTGCTCTTCCAACGCTCACTCCAACCAAAACCCATAATTGTCAAGTCAATTCTGACTCTAAAGGACTATACAGGGCAGGGGAGAACTGCCCCATGGAGTCTACAAGGCTCTAAATCTTTATGGAGGAAGAAGAATGCCACATAGTTATTGTTGGGAGCAGTTGGTGGGTTCAAACTGCCAACCTTTGGTTTAACAGCCAAGTGCTTAACTACCATGTTACGTGTGTGTGTGTTTGTGTGTGTGTGTGTGTGTGCGTGCGCGCACACGCACATGTATTTAAATATAAAACCAGGAGGTGCCTGCTTTGGTTTTTTAAAAAGTCTTTGCTGATGATTCCTTGACCCAACACAGTGCAGATATCCCCATCTTTTCTTGTCAATAGTAGATAATTCCATTATCTCTCTGAGCATCACAAATACCTGGCTATGCCATCCCTGAGCTGAAGGAGGCATCGTGCTCCAAAATTCAATGTGGCTAGGATCAAAGGAATAGCTATAACTACATAACTATAACAGCAATCCTAGTGTGTACACAGTTGAACTGCTAACCCAAAGCTGAGTGGTCTGAACCCACCAGTTGCTCTGAGGGAGAAAGATGGACATTCTCCTCCTGCACAATTTACAGCCTCTGAAAACCTGTTGGAGAGTCAGCTATTAGTTTGTTCCAATGCAACTGCAATAGGCGGGGGTGTTTGTTTGTTTGCTTGTTTGTTAGTTTGTTTTAATCCTACAGCAAAGGGTGTGATTCTTGGTACAGAACATCCGTTATGAGAGAAGAGACTCATACCTGGGAAGAAGTATGTTCGAGGTATGGATTGGAAATTCTTCTTGAGAGAGTCTATTTTGAAGGAAAGAAAAGAAGAGAAGTTAAGACCAAATAGAAATCTTTGTGACAAAAAAATCTGCATAATATACAACAGTGGTAGGACCACGTGAGAAAAAGGAACTCAAATCTCAAGCCAGAGGCGACACGGGATTGACGTCTTTATTCTTACTAAATACAAGCATCTGGTCACACTCTGTACAATGGGAGAGTGTATACCATTTGAATGGATCTCAATCTACAGAATATGAGAGGCAAAAAAAGCACAACAGACTGCACTGCAATCCCAGAGGTGAGTGCTCCAAAGCCACCAGATGCTCTGCCGGGGAAGGAGGGACAATCTCCTCCTGTACCAGTCAGATCTGATTTGATGGTACACACACACAAAATAAAAAAATATATAAAGAAATAAAGGAAAAGTGATCTGTGTGGTTTTGTCCTTGGTATTTTATTTTTGTAGAGATTTTTACTCCATTTCCCCCTCTTCTCCTCACAATACGGTCATTCCAGCTCAGGTCCTCATCACTCCACACGCGAGCTGCTGTTTTACATTCTTCGTCATTTTCCCTGCACTCCAGTCCTGTTCCCTGCAGACCATCCTGCCAACCTCAATTACACTAATCTTATGATATCGCCTATCTGCTCACAGTAGGGTTTTTAAATTGCTTATATGAATCAATACAAATCCCCCAGTCTAGTCTCCTCACAACTTGGGTCCAATAGGTTTCTACCATGTTCTTTCCAGCTCCCTAGAGGGCATCTTTAGTTCAGCAACATCTGCCTGTCAAATCTCTGCCTCTGCTCGCTCCACACTCCACGTTAGACAGTCCTCCATCTTCCTTTTTCCTGAATCCCATCCTGACACCTCAGGAGCTGTGTGCAGTCACCTCCTGGGTGAAGCTCTTCCAGCCTACACCAGCCAGCTGGGGTTCCTCCTTCAGACCTATTTGTCTTTGCTTTGTGTTGCGGGTTGTCTCTCTTTGTACACATTCTCCCAACAATCTATAAACCCCACGAAGGCGATGCTGGCTGCTTACACTGTTCGGCTGTCACAGCATCTAGGAAATAACCTCACATAAAGACATTAACTTTCTATTCAAGTATTTATAGATATCTACGTAGCATAGCAACCTTTGAATTGGATTCAACTCAATGGCAGTGGGTTTTGGCTTGGTTTATTTACGTATCTATATCGACTTAATAAGTATTTGTGGAATGGTGTGAATTATAGGAGCTAGTTTTTCCTACCTAACAATACAGTAAGCAGCACCATCACCCACATATGCTTAAGCACAACAGGAAACTATCGTCATTTCCCACAGCAGAAAGGGAAAAACAGAGAACTAACACTTGCAACCTATGTTTAAAACTCTATACTCTATTCCAAAGTTAGTTGTCTCTTGAAAGCCCATTGTTATTAGCTTGCTGCCTCCACTTTTTAAAAAAACTTGTGTGCGTGTGTGTGTGTGTGTGTGTGTACCATCAACTCAGATCTGACTGGTATAGGAGGATATTGTCCCTCCTTCTCCAGCAGAGCATCTGGTGGATCTGAACTGCACACCTCTAGGATTGCAGTGCAGCTTCTTGCCACTAGGCCACCAGAGCTCCCTTCCTGCCTCCACTGCTTAGAATAATTTTTAAATTTACGAAACACATCCTGACAGTCACCATTTTCCAGCATCAGGATCTTTTCACAAACTTTCTATCTACAGGAAAATTCCCACCTTGCCCTCTTCTCCACGTGACTCCCACACTACTTATCTTCTATTAAAATGAAATAAACATGTATCCAGAAGCACGGATTGATACACTCTACCAAATATCTGAAACTTGCTTCAAAAATAAGAAGTTGGAAAAAGGTAGACAAGATATTTCTATTTCCAATGTATTAAAAACAACCATCAGATCTCCGTCAATCTAGTAATCACTCACCAATACTCCTTTATCTGATATTTTCTTGTGAGCTTAAGTATTATATTCATTTACTGAAATACCTACCCAAACTTCTTTATACACCAGATTTGGTATATAAAGATCATCATGAGAATTCCCTGCTTCTGAACAGAGAAAGTTTACAAAATCATTATGGCCAGCCAGAACAGAATCTTTATTATTCAAACAACTGCCTGATCAACTCTAAAAAGCAAATACTTTACATGATCAGATTTAAAAGAAGGCTTTTAGGTAGAACCTACGCAGGGCATTCTCACAAAGCAAGCAGACCACTCACTTTTCTTTCTGCTGCCAACCTAAATCTGGCTGTAACTCATGTTACACTCACACAATCCCACTTAACAGAAACTTTCCCCATGGATGCGGCTGAGTAAATAAAGCAGTGAGATTCTTCTACAGTGAATAGGTAACCATGTTAGATAAGCTACTAGCCAACAGGGAATCAACAATAGCAACACAAGAAGAACTGTCTTTTCCAGGATACAATACCTAGATCTGTTGTCGGAAGCTCTGTGAAGCCCTCTCTGAATGGATACCAGGAGAGCTTTGTTTCCTTAACGTTCAAGGTCAGTGTTTCTCAAACTTGTCAACAGAGCTCCAGGAAGCCATGTGCTCTTTGTGGAACACCACAAAGCATGGATTTATTTATCTTGAGGTGATGAATATAACTGTACTTTGATAGAGACCATGTTATGGTAGCTCTCAGTATAGGCTAGAAATAGCAAATACCAAAAACTTAAGGAGAAAAAGAATATGGAGGAATATTCTACCATTTAATTTTCACTAGGAATTGGAGGATTATATTTCATTTTATCAGACGAACATTATGAGCCAGCTCACAGGAGTTTGTGAATCACTGTTCTAATTCACCTCAAGAACTTTTTCTCCTAATACTTGCTGACAAAAACAAGGCAGGCCATCGCTGAAATTGTGCCACTCCATGTTAAAATTATTTCCTGAATAGATAATTACTTAGAAGTTTTCACCTTTGTATCCTTGAATTTTTTTTCTCCCCTCTGCATTCCATGGCTTTATTTAATTATTCCTGTGGCAATTTAATTCTATCCACTTCCTAAATGAGCACCTTATCAGACATCATAGAAGTTTCCAGAAACATACACATGAACAACGCACCGTATCCAATTTATAAACCAACTTTCCAGACGATATTTACTATGGGACACTCTAAACTCGTGAATTCTCTTTCTTGATTCTAATTTTCCCTGTAATTCTAGATTAGGTACAGGGTATCACCTCTTGGTTTTTTTTCTTATACTTACTTGTTTTGTTTTTCTAATTACTGTAAACACATATTTGCTATTTCAACTTTTTAAAAACATATACAATCCACTAGTGCTAGTTGATTAGACTAGGACATTGATCATGGTCTTGAGGCTGTGAAATCATCACTACCATATATTTTGAAGTGTTTTCACCACCTGTCACATAAATACTGCTCCTTAAGCAAAAGTTTTCCTCTCTGAAATTGCATTTTTTTGTCAATTTGCCTTCCACAAATATGCCTAGATAAACTGATGATTTTTTTATCTCTCTATTTCTAAGAGTCAAACTACATGTAAGGATTTGTTTCTTCCTTCATGCACATTGTGTGTCACACAATTGTTTATTTACATTGTGTTTCATTCAATCATTCATCTTCTATTTGCTGAACTGAACACCTCCTGTTGCTGTGATGCTGCACACTGTTTCATAGTCTTGTCAAATACCATAATGGTTATCCATTATGTACAGTTTTTTTGGATGAGCTTCCAGATTGATATATGCTGGGAATCAGGAGTGGCATCCACTTCCTAAAACTAGGTGCCTCTGGAAACTCTACAAACTCTCTAGACTCTTTAAATGTACAGAAATGATTGTAGTTCTAGAACAGAGTTATGTACAAGAATGATGTTAGTCATAGAAGAGAGTTTAAGTCTTTTGTGTAAAACTTATTCTCAGTCGTATTTAACTTCTTGACACTTAACCATTGCTAATGAAACTAGTGCTGGAAAACACTCCTCCACTTTGTACATCACTCTTTGTCAATGTGCAGTATGAAGTAACCTGGGTTGCTGTGATGCTGAACCTTGTACCATTGGGGTATCAAATACCAGAATGGTTTCCCAATGTGGACAGTGTTTGGTGGAGGTCCCAGTTGTAAAACATGTTTGGAAGCAGGAGTGGCATCCACTTCCTAAACCACATGTCTCTGGAAACTCTATGAACTTGGTGAAATGACGACAGTTATGGAAAGGCAGTAGGTCTTCTGTTCATAGTGTCACTATGAGTCACGCTCAATTCGACGGCAGTCAACAACAACATAGAGAGAGCTACGTTGGCCTAGTGGACAGAAAGTTATGCTACCAAATCCAAGGTGGGTGATTTTGCTCTGCGGCCCTCGGGGATGGTTCAAATTGTTTTTCTGTCAAACATTCTTTTAGGCGGTATAGCACTGGTCTGTGCATCGTAGTACAGAAGTAACTCGTGGTTGCTGTGATGCTAAACACTGTGACCCTGATGTGCCAAATGTGATAATGGTTATCCATGGTGGACAGTGTTTGGTGGAGCTTCCTGATTAAAACAAGCCTGGAAGCAGCAGTGGCATCCACTTAAAAAATGGCTTGCCTCCAGAAACTCTATGAACAGTGCTCAGGCCTTTCATTCACAGGGTCACTATGAGTTGTCGATGACTTGACAGCACCAAACAACAGCTAGCTATCATTTATCTATCAAGTGTACAACTCAACAGGACAATTATTTAGCAACTCCTATTCTTTTTGAGTTAGGTATTCACTAAATTTAAACCACACAAATCCACACAGCTAGGTCCAAACCAAATATGAAACTAATTTCAGAATTGTTGAAAATATTCTACTTAAGTATATGACAAACAGATTTCTCATCAGCCTGTGAAGGAAATGTTTCAATACAATCCTTACTGCACATTTAGTTCCCAGGAGAGTGAAAGGAATTAAATGATAAAGACTAAATAATTCACTGGAAATTATGACCCTCCCTATTACAAACAAGAACCAACCAGAACTGCCTACCACTTTTACTGA